TTTCTAGCAAGTCAAATTATTTACTAGATGGCCCAAATGGCAGGTTAGGCCAGCGTCTGATCTGGAGGGCAGTTATCACCACGCTCTGCATCTTGTTAGCGTTCTCAGCCAAGGCATCAATGGCTGCTTTCCAACTGGAACCTTACTCTGACAAAAGAGAGTGCAGTACATGCTAGGGAAAGCTTTTTGATCAGTTTAGTTCACTTCTTCCTTCCAAACCGGTGTTTGGCAGTAAGCTGCCAACAAGCTTGGGAATTGCCCAGAGAGCATCATCACTTTGGGAATTCACCCTCCTGAGGAGGAACTGCTCTTGGACCATTCCTCTGCCACACAGCATAGAAATCCCTCTACTGACTTCTGCTTTAATTATATTTAAAAAATTCAGCTTCTAGTCTGTACTACATTATAATAATAGCAATAATTAAAAATACTTCAAACGACAAGTCCTCTAAACCTGCTGTTCCATCCAGGCTTTTTGGCATCACACGCTTCCTTTCTTGACTGACATCCTCAGGGAACCAGACTGATGGTTATTCTATTCTATTCCTGTTGCAGGGCTGTACTGCGCTCTCTCAGCACATGTAAACTGCTAGGTAATATTTGTGTTGGCAACTAACTCACATACTTTATAGAAACAGACCTCTGTTTGACCCTCCATGCAGCTCCCACACACAATTTGGTCCACTCCTTCAAACTGCTTCCTTCTGCTGCAACACGTACCCCATCCCATACCTCTCTTTCTAGGCTGTTTAAAAACTGCATACCCAGAACAAAGCTTATGCGTCTAAAGAGACCAACTTGGCTACAAAAGCCAAGCCTGCAGAATGTCCTTATACAAGAATATCAAAGAAAATTAATATAAAACTTGCATGTACAGGTCCTGGTTTTCCTTCTACAAAGATTGCTCCAACTGAACGTTTCTATGAAAAAGACTATGAAAATTTCTGTGGGGAAAAAAAAAAAAAAAAAAAAAAAAAAGAAACCCCATCAACTCACAGATTTCTGTGATAAGACTCTAATAGCTCTATCATGATTTGGGGGATTGGTGGGGGAGCGTTGGGGTTTTTGTTTATAAAAATGGTTAAATTTTAGCTATTTAGGCAGTAACATCACCTCAGAATAGATTTTCCCACCACAGCTCTTCCTTCCTTGCCCAAAGCACACCATGCATAATAAAAGATAAGCTAAAGTAACGTGTTCAGATGATCAAATGAATTCCCATTATCCATTTCTACCATGGCAGTTTATCAACAACTCCATTTAAAGCCAACAGAGCTAAACCAGAATGAAAGTGATGCAAAAAGAGGCGAAATCTGAGCGGCACGCGCCAGGGCGAGCGCAGCTGCAGTGCGAGCGGGGGACTGTGCAGTCACATCATGTGACAGGAGCGGTGCTGGCAGCAGAGGAGGGAGAGCTACAGCCCCCGTCCTCCCACCTTCGTAAATCTGTGCCTTCAGTGCCACGTTACAGACAACACAATTCAATTTCAATGCAGAACTGACTCGGGGTATAAGCTCCTCCATGTTTTGAACTGTTATTCTCCATTTTCATTACCCCTCTCCACCAAATAAAACAGTAACACAGACATGAATAACAACACGGGCAAGCTGTGTATTCCTCCCGCTGCTAAGCACTTTCAGCACTTTATCACTTGTAGATCTAGTTTCTCAAGTGAGCATGGTGAACACAGAACACGGTGCTGCTGCCTGTACCATTCTTACACGCAGAGCTTAGCCCAACTAGTCATTGTTGTGATAAAGTCTCCCAACGTTTGTAAGGGACACGGATTGCCAATTGAATTTTGATCCTGTATTGTACCTATATTTCAACACAAAACAATGAACACAATCTCCTTTGTAGCACTGCAAAGTATTTCTTCCCTCCATATAGTTTCTATGAATGGTTTTTATATTTTCTGCAGCAAAGAACGTGGCTATCACATTTGTCTATGCTATCTGTATTGTTTTGGCAGCCCAGAATGATTGGAGAATTATGCTCTTTGCTTCTCATTAAGCGACTCATTGTTTCTGTCATTTAATACATTGCAACCCAGCTTATCAAAACATCTTAAATCAGACTGACTTATCTGATTTGAAAACAAAGCATCTTTTTCTCTAAGAACATGACCTACAGTCAGGTGTCGTGGTTCTTAATCGCTCCCTCAACAGTCTGAGCAAAGTAAGTCACAGCCATTACGCAACAGGGTTCACACAAGGCGAGAAGATGCACCGGGCAGCAACCGCATCGGCGAACTTCCACAGCGAGATCGACACCAGGATGATCTTCTACAATTTCCAAAAGCTGCTACCAACACTGCGGTTCTGTTGCTCGCAGGAATGGTGAGAGAGCATACGTGTGCCGGGAGACTCACTTATACTAGCATTTTAGTCATTATATGCTCCAACAGTGCTGCTTTGCATCAGCTTAGACAAGATGCTGAGAACTACGTAGTGCATTTGGATAGCTCTTGCAAAAAACAGCGATTTTTTTTTTATACCAAGGGATCCATTTTGCAGGTCGGAGGACTAGAATTGCTTAGCCGAGACACAGCTTAAACAAGCAAGCTTGGAGCCTGGTTATTAAATTACAGAAGTGCAACTCAGACTTTGACGAAAACAGGCCCTGTTCTGTGGTGGGAGATTAGACCCAGACTCCGAAAACCTGCAGTCTTGATCCTGAATGTTTTATCCGGGTTAGCCTTTGGCTGTTGACTTTTTTAGATAGAGTAACAGGCAAGAAATCCGTGGGAATGACACAACATAACAATCATCCAGCTTCTGTTCCCAAGGGCATTTCACATCACCCATTGTCCAAAGCGTTTCTCGGTACAGAACAAGAATTTGGTGAAGAGGGAGTTGCCAAGATAGAAGTTTAAAATCAGACCAAATCCATGACAATTCCATCTAACTTGCCGTTTGGATACCCAGCACTGCACAGGCAGCTCTTGTAAAACCCAGCAGTATTTCACTGAAAGGATTCGTTTGCTGGTGCAGAGATGCAGCTACCTGTCACAGGCGCGCTAAGCACCACAGCCTCCCCAGCTGGGCGAGGCAGGGTGGCAAGAGGGACCAGAACATAAGGAATGGAGAAGTTGATACAGAGGAGGCCGTTTTCGTAATTATTGCAGTTATGTTGCGAACCAAGGCCTAAGCAGAAAGCGTGTCACATCGCACTTCCCTTCCCCGACAGCGGCAAAGGCAGCGGGGAGCACGGCTCCCCGCACCCAGGCGCAGGGCCTCGGCGGCGGCACGGCCATCGCTGCCCCTCAGCCCCGGCACGGGGCACGGA